TCTGTTTGTTCGGTGTGTTGTGTGTGTGTGTGTGTGTGTGTGTGTGTGTGTGTGTGTGTGTGTGTGTGTGTGTGTCCGACAACGGCATTTGTTTTCAAATTACCATGAACAGTAACGTGGGTGTTCCCAAATGAAAGAAATGTGTTTAATCTTAATGTCGCACTGTCTGCACACACACACACACACACACACACACACACACACACACACACACACACACACACACACACACACACACACACACACACACACACACACACACACACACACACACACACACACACACACACACACACACACACACACACACACACACACACAGGGCAGGAGGCTTCACATGTTGATGTCACATGTGTGTGTTGTACTCCTGTTTTCACTTTAGAGCCCTTTAGAACTAGGGTTATCATTTCAGCGCCCCCCCCCCCTCTCTCTCTGGCTGTTTGTGGAAAATAAAACTAAACTTTTCATAACCACAATATTTGAACTGATTTAATGTGAAACTGGGGTTATTCATCAGACTTTCGTATGACTTGACTTGTGACTTGCTTGACTTTCACCACAGTGACTTGAGACTTGCTCATGACTTGCACATATAGGACTTACTCCCACCTCTGGTGAATGGATACAGAGGTGTGTGGGTTTCTAACGGAGCTCTGTGATTGGTCAGCTCACCTGTGGGTCTGCTGCTGTGGGCGGGGCCTGTGTGGGAGGACACGCCCCCTCGTGGGCCCCCCCCCCTGCAGTCTCTGCAGAAGATGAATCCGCAGCCGAGCCGAGGGTCACATTGCAGCCGCTTTATACCTGGGGGGGGCACAAGCCCCGCCCCACAGCCCGCTGACGGACACATCAGTCCTCCAATCAGCAGCAAGCAGCGCTCCGCCCCAAACTGCAGGTACCGCCCATACTGAGGAACATCATATAACATCATATAATATTAAATATAATATATAAATATAATGCTAACCCATACTGAGGAACATCATATAACATAATATAATATTAAATATAATATATAAATATAATGCTAACCCATACTGAGGAACATCATATAACATAATATAATATTAAATATAATATATAAATATAATGCTAACCCATACTGAGGAACATCATATAACTCAGAACACCTGTATTAGTCCCACAGAGGGGACCTCGTGACAGCAGGAGAGAGCCACAGACAGCTTCGTGTTACATTATGTTAAAAAAAAAGTACTAAGTTATGATATAATAAAAATATAAAAAAGTTACATACTTTTCAAAATACAAATCCTGTAACAGTTCTTAGGATTTAGCAGCCAGGTATATATTACACAGTTATTAATGGCATATGTACATAATGTATATATTGCACATAGTTTGTTGGTATTTAGCAGCAAGGGGTGATATAGTCTGTGTTGTGGTGTGAGTAGGGGGGAGGGGGGGGGGGGGGGTCTACTGGGGGCTGTGCTGGTTGTATAGTCTGACCGCTGCAGGAAGGAAGGACCTGCGGTATCTCTCCGTGTGACAGCTGGGGTGCAGCAGCCTGTCGCTGAAGGAGCTGCACAGTGAGGACAGGGTGTCCTGGAGGGGTGTCCGGCAGTGGCTCAGTCAGTAGGGGCTTGGACTGGGAGCCGTAGGGTCGCTGGTTCAAGTCCCCGACCAGACCTAAATATGGAGTGTGGACTTCTACTTGGAGAGGTCCCAGTTCACCTCCTGCCCTGCCGTGGTGCCCTTGAGCAAGGCACCGGACACCCCCCTTCCCCCCCACTCCCATTGCTCCCCGGGCGCTGTACAATAGCTGCCCACTGCTCCTAGTACTAGACTCCTTGTACTAGGATGGGTTAAAAGCAGAGGCCAAATTTCACTGTGTGTGCTGTGTGCTCTGCATGTGTGACCATTAAAGAGGGTTTCATCCCTCCCTATTCTATTCCTATTCGAGGGGGTGGGACATATTGTCCAGCAGGGAGGACAGCTTGGCTGCCAATCTCCTGTCTCCCACCACCTCCACAGTGTCCAGAGGACTCCTGTCTCCCACCACCTCCACAGTGTCCAGAGGACTCCCGTCTCCCACCACCTCCACAGTGTCCAGAGGACTCCTGTCTCCCACCACCTCCACAGTGTACAGAGGACTCCTGTCTCCCACCACCTCACAGTGTCCAGAGCACTCCCCAGGACAGAGCTTCCTTACCAGTCTGTTCAGTCTCTTCCCGTCAGCAGCAGAGATGTTGCTGCCCCAGCAGGCCACACCATAGAAAATGGCTGATGCCACAACAGAGTCGTAAAAAGTCTGAAGGAGTGCCCCCTGCACCCCGAAAGACCTCAGTCTCCTCAGCAGAAAGAGTCTGCTCTGTCCCTTCTTGTACAAAGCAGCAGAATGATCAGTCCAGTCCAGTTTATTGTTCAGGTGAACACCCAGGTATTTGTAAGATTTCACAATCTCAATGTCCGCTCCCTGGATGTTCACTGGTGTCGGGGGGGGGGTGTTGGCGCCGTCTGAAGTCCACCACCAGTTCCTTGGTCTTCGTTGCGTTGAGCTGGAGGTGGTTCCTCTGGCACCAGAGGGTGAAGTCCTGCGTCAGCTCCCTGTACTCCCTGTCGTCCTCGTTGGAGATGAGGCCAACGATGGCGGAGTCGTCAGAGAACTTCTGCAGGTGACAGGTTGCAGTGTTGTGGGTGAAGTCTGCAGTGTAGAGGGTGAAGAGAAACGGTGCCAGCACCGTCCCCTGGGGGCCCCCCGTACTGCTGATGATGGTTTCTGATTGACACTCCCTGGTCCTCACATACTGTGGGCGGTTGGTGAGGTAGTCCAGGATCCAGGAGGTGAGGTGGTGATCCACCCCCAAGAGCTGCAGCTTGTCCCCCAGGAGCGGGGGTTGGATGGTGTTGAAGGCACTGGAGAAATCAAGGAACATGATCCTCACAGTGCCCCCCCCCCCCCAGCCTTCTCCAGGTGGGAGAGGGACCTCTGCAGCAGGTAGATGACGGCGTCATCCACCCCGATGGCAGGCTGGTAGGCGAACTGCAGCGGGTCCATTGATGGTCCCACAAGGGGCCGGAGGTGTCCAAGGACCAGCCTCTCCAGGGTCTTTATCAGCTGTGATGTCAGCGCCACCGGCCGGTAGCTGTTGAATTCCTTGGGGCAAGGGGTCTTTGGCACAGGTACCACGTCTTCCCATGACACGCACACCATCCCTCTGTCATGGAAAACTTCACACATCAAACCGCTGCCCAAAAGAACATAAGGACTCCAGACCAATAGTCCTCACATCAGTGATTATGAAATCACTAGAAAGAATTTTGCTCCGATTTCTTATCAGTACAACACAAGACAAACTTGATCCATACCAATTTGCCTATAAACAAGGGTGCAGTACGGAAGACGCTGTGGCCACTTTGGTTCACATCATCACTAAACATTTAGATAAACGTAACACCTATGCAAGAGCCCTCTTCCTAGACTTCTCATCAGCATTCAACACAATACAAGCAGACATCTTGGTGTCAAACATGGCCAAAATGGAAGTAAATCCATACCTGATGTGCTGGTATGCTGCTTTCCTCACTAGTAGAGAGCAACTTGTGAAGGTTAACAAAACCCTGGCATCTGCCATCACAACCAACGTAGGTGCCCCCCAGGGCTGCGTGAGTTCAGCTGTGCTCTTTACTCTCTACACTGATGTCGTACCAACACACCAAATCAAGTCATCATTAAGTACTCTGATGATACTGCAATAATATCTCTGCTCAGTAACACAGACGACCCTGAGCTGCACCAACAGGCTGTAACTCAGGTGGTCGAGTGGACTGATATGCTCTTGAGATCAACACCAAGAAAACTGAGGAAATCATTTTTGGCTCACCATCGGACTCCCATAAAGTCCCCATTGTCAGCCATACAGATGAAATCAAGCAGTTTCATACAAATACTTGGGTGTAATGATTGACCGTCTGCTGTCATGGAAGGAGCACATTGAACATCTGCTGTCATGGAAGGAGCACATTGAACATCTGTGCAAAAGGACAAAACTAAGAATTTATTTTCTAACCCGTCTTAGATGTTTTGGGGCGAGCAGAGAAATTCTTCTGTTGTTCTTTACATCTGTGATCATGTCCATTCTACAGTACTGCAACACGACCTGGTACAAGTGTTTGTCAGCAGCTTTCAAATCAAAAGCTCCACCTGTTAAAAATCTGCTCAAAGATTGTTGGTCAACCTGCCAGAGACTCTCTGACTCAGCCGATCATAACAACCTAGTGAGGCTGTCCAACAACATCACCTCTGACACAAAGCATGTTCTGAACAGTGAATATGAACTGCTACCATCTCATCGGAGATACAGGGTCCCACGATTCAATAAGGTCAGACTGAAGCACTCCTTTGTGCATCAGTCAATCCTCTCAGTACATACAGAGCTGATCCCAGATCAGATGCACTCTGAAGGCTCTCTGAGCATCTCTCACTGATTGTGCTGTTATGTTAAATGTTTGTTGTTTATGTTTCATGTATTTGTGTCTGGATATTTGTCTGTTGATGTTGGACATGGAGCTGCTGTGACGCAAGTCACATTTCAGACTTGACCTGACAAATAAAGTGGGGGGGGGCGCATGACTGATCAAATCTGTTGAAGAAGTTATTCAAGTCGTTTGCCCACTGGTGGTCCCCCCGGACCAGGGAGTCTGGCTCTTTGTAGCCAGAGATGGTTTTCAGGCCTCTCCAGACTCCGCTGACGTTCCTCTGCAGCAGCTGTTCCTCCATCCTCTTCCTGTAGCTGTTTTTCCCCTCTCTGATTTTCCACCTCAGCTCCTCTGTACAGTCTTCAGCTCCTCTCTGTTGCCAGATCTGAAGGCCCTTTTCTGTCTGAGCCTTTATTCCAGGGGTAACCCAGGGAAAACACCGTACAGTCCTGGTGGGTACGACGTTTTCCTAACAGAAGTTAATATAGTCTGTGATGCAGTCTGTGAGGCCGTTGATGTCCTCCCCGTGAGAGTCAGTGAACACATCCCACGCAGTAGTGTCGAAG